ATAGAGTGTTGAGACTGAACTTCAGATTTAAGGTGGTGGCATGGATTCTTCGATGAACTTATTAAAGTTGTCTCTTGGCATGATGTCTTAGCTTCGGATCTATTTGATCCTTTTACTTTTGTTAATGCAAGATTCAATAATAGTAGTCTACATCTTTCTAACACATCATCAAATAAATCCTTTTACTGTTTGTTCCTAGTTACCTTTCTATTTTGAATAACTTTTTTTATATTTTAATTTAAAAATTTAAGTGTACATTAATCACTAAATTTGAAATAAGTATTTTGTTTTACAAATAGACACATAAATAGAAATGAATGTAGTAATGTTGGAAAGAGTAAACTTTAAATGAAAATATAAACACACTACTATTTTTGGAAAATAAAAAAGAATAGCAAACTATCTTTAATCATTAGAAAGATATTATTTAGACATGTCTATCGAAAATAGTAAGGAGTATATATGGCACGACCTTCGTGTGAATATATATTGCTCCCCTGTCGTATTTTACATTTTTACTTGTTTCTTTGGAGAGAACTTTTTATTTTTATTCACTTGTCCATTTAGAAATTCAAAAAACCATTTATAGCTAGTTTTTTAGTCATACCATCAAATTAATAACTACTTTTTAATATTGCCCTTAAATCAATTAGGTATAACCAATTGATATAATTCACTGATTTTAATACACCTAAAATTCTATATATAACCATAATTTTTAGTAGTACCATGAATGTTCTCTCATCCTACAAATAAGGAATTCATCATTTTCTAATTGTGTAATTGTCGCCCAACAAGTGTCGCTACAAAATATATAACCATATTTTGTGTATATATACACAAAAATGGAGTGATTATTAAGAAAAAACCAATAATTATAATATAAATCAATACAATCATTACATTAATCGATATGTTTTTTTTGGTCATAGATAAATAAATAAGAAGGGTGTAAAATTGATGTATTAAGGGGCCGAGGCATAAGAAGTGGAAAGTAAAAGAAATCAGTATCCTCTCCCACCTTGTTTGATTTGAACATGGTGTTGATAGGTTGCAATAATTAATTGAAGGTGCATGCCTCTGTGAGTAATGTTTCTTTCATAGCTAACCTTCATTTAGCATGTTATTACCAAAAAGGATGAACGATAAAAGCGTATATACACATAATTTAAATTTATCCCAGAAATGAATAGAATTACAGGAGACAAGAATAGAAAATAAATAGATAAGCTTAGTAGTAGATGAAGAAAGTGACAAAGTTACTGGCAGATATGAATAGAGGACCGTGATTGCTGAATAATTAGCAATAGGACCCCACTAATAAAAGAGCTGATGTGATGAGTGATGCCCTTTAATTTGCTCTACATTTGTTTCCGGCGAGTACCATTCAGCAACAACCACATTCATTCATTCCAATGTATTTTTTCACCATTCATTCATTACCCCTTCCACGAAGTAAAACCAAAACAAAGGAAACGGTACTTCCCTACCTAAAATCTGATATATACTACTAATACTAGTCTCAATCGCATTTACTTGATCAGTAGAATCGGTCTATAATTTACTATTTATTTTGTCACTTTTATATTAATTTTATTAGACATTATGTATGATAACGTAACATGTGGTAAGTAATACAATGAATTCGATATATACCTTATATATATAATTAATGAGAGAATCATGTTTCATGTTTTTTATCATGATTTAACGAAAGCATCTTTCCAAAATAGATATGAAGGAACAATTCCGATCGATTAATAGTTACTAATAATATCAATAATCATTTGTCCAACAGTCAAACCATTCAAAGAAAAATGAGTAGAGTAACAGGTTGGTTGTAAGTACTTTATTTATTTATTTATTTATTTTGATGAAGTAACAATAATAGAGTAGTAGGTAATAGATAGAGAGTAGAGAAGAATATATGGATGATTGATTGATTCATACAGAAAGAGCACCAACTTGAAGGAGCTTAGGGACAAGGTGGCCGGTGACGTGGAGGGAGACGAGGGAGTCGAGTCCACCGATGCAAGTGCCTCCGATGAAGGCGGCTGGAGCGGGAGTGGTGGAGGAAGGGAGGGCGGCGATTTCGTGGTCATCAAGCTGGATGACGGTGGGACTAACGCCGATAGTGGAGAGGAGATTCTTCATGACGTGGCACATGCAGCAAGAGGATCGTGTGAAGATGATAACAGGGTTTTCTGTTATGAGGCGTTGGATTCGGGTTTCAGGAGAATCATCTAGATCCATGGATAAAGAGGAAGAAGAAGAAGAAGAAGAAGAGAAAGAGTTGGTCATGGTGGTTGTTAGGCAACACCCAACGCTTTGCATCGCCGTAGAGTTTGGCGGAGTTGTTTGTTTTTGTTCCTTATTATGAATTTCTTTATTTATAAATCAACATAATATGCTGCTTTTATTTTTGCTAACATCACAAATTACTTTATTTCGTCATCTGCGACTACCATCACTCACTCACTCACTCACTCCCACGCGCGCTTATAACATGTTTTCGAGGTGTTCCCGGTGCGATTTAAATTACGTTTCAGGTAAATATTAATAATAAATCTGATTTCAACATCAAAATTATAAGTGATTCGATTAGTTAAACATTATATCCATTCTCTTTCGATGGATTTATAAATTTTTTCTATTTATAATCCAAGCTTCTTAGTATAAGCTAATGCATAAAGTTTAATTTTTAAATAACAAAACCAACAAAATATAATCCATGCAACAAAAGTTAAAAGTAAATGTATAGTTTTAGAGTATAGTACTTAATCTCTCTTTCCCTATTTATTACTACATTTTTTAAAAGTTTTACCAAATGTAAGTGACTTTATTATATTTAGGTAATATTAAATTATGGGTGAGGCTCCACATCTAAGTCATCAATTCTAAGGAAATCCAATGGTTTATATTCATCCACTGATTCAAACCATTGGATTTCTCTAGAATTGATGACTAAGATGTGTAGTAAGTTTAAAAAATTTACTATTCGAGTCAATAGATCCTTCCTCTTAAATTATATATCAAATAAAGTGTAATATCTATGATTGATAGTGTAAATATTTATAATAGTCAATATATTATTCACCATTTATTTGTAATACTTTTATTTAAAATTCAATGATGATAAAAACTGGATGGTAGATAATGCAATAAAAGTATAAAAAAACTCTTACGATGTCAGCTCATTCATATTTTTCTCTATCAAATATAATATACCTCAATATTACATTTTTTATTTACTGGTTTATCCCTCCCTATATATTCCAATAACCATTTCACTTTCTATAAATGAATGCAAGACTAGTTTTGGAATGTGAAAATATATATTTTTAAATTTGAAAATTACAATTTTTTTTACAAAATTTTCTTAACATGTGTGAATTAGTTAAAATGCGTTATATATCAACAGAAGGGGTATATAATAAAATGTATTACATGACATTCGACTTCAATTTTATTAATGAACATGAAATGACATATGATGAGTTCCGTAATATCCATATAACCAATAATTCAAAGGAGAGTAGTACTCGCATACCCCACAAGGATATTAAAAATCAATTTAAGAGCAATCTAAAAGGATTTATTCACTATAATGATATTAATATTTGACAAACATAGCAAAACTACATTCTAGGCAGACATAGCTTTCCATCTTTAACTATGTATCGCCAAACATCAATTTCAGACTGTCACACATGGATATGAAATCTTCAAAGATTCAAATCGCATTCTAAACAGTGTCCTAAAAAATTGTGAGAGCAAGACAGCGAATGAATGACTACGGGAAATAGTAGGGTTGGTAATGGTTCGGCTAGATCCAATAATTCGGTCCCGACATAATTTGATTGTGTTGACTTTTTCTAAAACGAAGTTGATATTTTTGTTGGTCGAATTTTTTGTATGATATTCTCCAATTTCAGTTGAATCCAGAATGTTGAGTTCATAATCATTTTAGTTGGGTAAAATTATTATAATGAGGTTTGAACGTATAAATTTTATACTTCACCCGAGCATCTCACTAATAGCTTTGTGCTTTACAGCAAATCTTGCTTGGCACGTTCAGCTAGCATAGGTGATTAGCTGCTACACAATTTAATTACACCTTGCAAATGAAAATAATCATTAGAGGATTTAAAATAAGAGGACTAACTTTTAATTTGGACATTTTATTGGTTCCAGAATTATTATAAATAGTTCTCTATCAATGTACTTTACTTTGATGCATATTTGTATTTTGGTTTTGGAAAGTTAGAATTAATGCATGCAACATTGAAATGAGGAGGTAATTCCTCCAAACATTTATATAAAGATCATTTTGAAATTTGTGTTGGTCATTTTAATAAAATCATTTTCAAAGTTCTATATAAAATAAATGAATTTTTAGTATTGTGCATTTATTTCTTCAAACAAATTGAGTGGAAAGTTAAAATGAGTTGGAGTGTCATGGATAAATGTCAATTTTGATAATGATAAATTTAATGACGTTGTTATCTTTTAATTAGCATAAAATTGTCCTAAAAAATAGATAATAAAAATAGTATAATATTTATGCACCAATAGTACAAAGATTTATACACAGTGTATCATAAATCATTTATTTGCATTAGTTTTATTTATCATATATACTAAGGAATATACCTGAGAAAACGAGGGCTAGGACGTGGTTTAATTTTACACCCTGAAGTTGGGGTGGTTGCTACTTTTCTTCCGCGGAAAGCTTGTTGTGGGATTGGATGAATGGATTCTGAAATTAGTGGATGAGTGGAGATGTATGATGCTATATGATGTGGGTGAGTGGATCTAATTCAACGTGGAAAAGTGGAGCAAAAGGACTTCTTAGCTATATTTTTTTCTGTTTGTATAATGGGGATCTTAGCTCTTGAATTAGAATAATCTTATTTTAGTTTATAATTTTAACACCCAAGTAACAATCTAGTACCAGCTAGGATATAAGAAGATACCAACACTCTTGAGTCTTTCCATAGTCATAAGATGGAGTAATTTACAAGTCAATCAACTACTTCATTGCCTTCTCAAAGGCCATGAGAAATATGAAGCATCCAACTAAGGTACTCCTCTACTTCATTCATGTTGAATAAGACTTTGCTAAATGTTCAAATATGGTATCTAAAATTTAATGTCCAATCCCGGATATTAATATTAATATTTTTTAGAAAAGTAATCATGCATCAGGTGAATAATACCTGTTTAAAATACTATTAACTTTTTTGAATCATTTATAATATTTCTAATATTACAAAAGACACACCTATAATTTTAATTATCTTCATGTGATTTTATTAGAAAACATGGGTACTTTTAAAAGTAACTTTCATAACGGGTTTATTTAATACCTACCACTACATGAATGCATTACATCAAGCTTTAAGGGATTTGATATTTCGTGGGTACCAGGAGATTATATTGGTGGATGATTTTATGAGTATTATTTCTTTCCATTCACTTTCATCGTCATTTTGCATTTTTTTTCTATTTTTTATATTATTTGTCACTTGAAGAAATTAAGAAACATTAACTATTTCTAACTTTTTTTATCTATTTTATCTTATATTGTCATATATTAATTTATTTAGTATTTTTTGAATTTATAAATAATATTGAAAAATCAAATTGACATTGTAAGAAATATTTTAGTCAAAGTACTTTATTTTATATTATAGTTAATACCTTAAATAAATACTTAATTAGTGTACATTATTTGACAACAAGATTAAAAGCAGAGGTAGAGGTTATATACATACAACACCTCATGCTTGATACTGTTCCATTTTAATTTTGTCTAGAGTTGCTATGTATCTATTTAAATTATAATTTATGGAATAAACATAAACAAAATATGTTATACATCTAACTTAATAATTCGCATGTGTCCGATAAAGTGGAAGTTAGATGCCACGGTTGCGGCATCAAACAGGTTTAATTCCTTATTCCCTGCTTTCCTGTGGGCCCAATTCAGGTTAAAGCTGACGTATGCAATTTCATCTTCAATTATACAATGACAGTGAGAGTTGATGTTAAAGTTTGTTATTGATTTTGCTTTCAAAAAGTTACTTTTACGACTGAGGGAAATAGAATTTAGTATTTGCTTAACAAGTTCAACATTTCAATGACATCTATTATTTTACACATATATTTATTTCAGTGGAGTTTAATTTTTATTTTTGGTGGTCTGACAACAGTTCCAATTTAAAAATAATACAAAAGGAACGGTTAAAATTAAAAGTTAATTAAATATGACACAATCAATTTATATGTCATTTAAATAAGATCAAATACTTTATATTAATTGTTTTCATTTCTTATATCACTTGTATATATAATAAGTCATTTAGTGTATTGATGCACACAAACCCACCACGTGAGATATGATGAAGATTCAAAAAGTTGATTATCCTGATTTCCGCCGTGGCTTTCTTTACTAATGAAATATTAATCATCTTTGCATAATTTTTCCAATTTTATGGCAATACAAATTGTTATTATTATGGGTCTTTATTGTAGGTTGGCTCTTGCGACAGTCCAACTCGAAAGCTTTCGATCGGGAATTTGGACACACTGCGGTCAAGCCCAAAGTAGTAAAGCCCAGTATGACCTGAAAAGAGTACATAGCCTGGACCACTCGTGGACCAAAAACAAAATAATTAACAGCCTAGCTAGTTCACTCGTTTCGGTCATGAAAAAAAATGTTACAATCCTAACAAGATTCTATGCTGCATGCCGCATTGCTAAATGACTTAGGAAAAGGAGATTACCATATAGCACAATTTTCCTTCTCTTATAATAAAAACACTTTTGAAAGTAGCACCGGATTTTTTTTTGCACAAAGTTGAAAATTTTGTGGACAATAGTAATCAATATAAATGGAGGGATCGAAATGACCATAAAAATAACGACCAAAAAATGAAATGAAGTTTTCATTTTTAAAAATAAAAAACATAATGATAATGTAAGAATTTGTTACATTATATCTCATCATTCATGTTCTATTATTATTGACTCACTCTTAAATTTAATATGTATAAAAATTTACATTGAGAATATATTAATATTACACTTTCAAAAAAAGACAATTTAGATAAACATTTCTTTGTCAATTTAATATGCATGTAATGACATTTAAGTATTGTTTTACAATTTTGTAATATATTATACACTAATCATTATCGATTTTTAAACAAAAAAAATAATACAATTAAATGATCGATAATATTATAACCGTGTACAAAAAGTTACAATGGTAATGTATAAATAAACCTCAAACCAATGTTAAATAGATAAGTCACGAGTATATTATAACATGTAATCACAATAAAAGTGGATTTTATTGCTAATTAACTGCACCTACAGAATCAAATATCAGTATACCAGAATCATTAATTATGTAAGAGCCACCTCATCAGGTAATCTCGATTATTAGTATCTAATAATGCTTATTCTTTCTTTGATTTTTTAATAATAAATAAAGTAAAGGCGTTTCTGTGTTTTGGAGTGGATGAATCAGAGAAGTCGAGAACGTTCCAGAACATATATATCTAAGAGCAAAGGAGAGTGACAAATGGCATAAATTTCTCACAATCTTGGGATTCCCACACTCTCTAGAATCTTCTTCCTCCACCGCCTTAAATTCATTACACTCCTCACTGCTACTTAGTTAATATTCACTCATACTTTCCATTTGAAGAAAACAATCAAAACTATGTGTTCTGTGAATGAAATGAAGGGTATTAGTGTGAAAGAGGAATCAGAGACAGTAACAGTAGCTGTAGCAGCTGGTTCATCATCTTCATCTTCAAATCTTTCACCTCAGCCAATGGAAGGGTTACATGAGATGGGTCCACCTCCATTTCTCACTAAAACTTTTGATGTTGTGGAAGATCCATCCACTGATTCCATTGTTTCATGGAGCATAAATCGCAACAGTTTTGTTGTTTGGGATTCTCACAACTTTTCCACTGCTATCTTACCTCGTTACTTCAAGCATAACAATTTCTCCAGCTTCGTTCGCCAGCTCAATACATATGTAAGTTTTTCTTTATTTTTTTTATATATCATTATGTGTATTTTCACACAATGATGCATAAAGTTTGTCAATTTTTGCACTATTATATATAGATTTTGTCTTAAAATGCAAGTTTTAATTGGAAAATTATGTATATCATGATCTCCTTTATATTCAACTAGGAAAATTTGATGCATTTATATGGATTGGCTAATGATTAGAAAAATTGTCTGTGATTGCCTAAACAGTGATCTCAACTCATGTTGGGAAATGAGTGCAGGGTTTTAGAAAAATTGATCCAGATAGATGGGAATTTGCAAATGAAGGGTTTTTGGCAGGGCAGAGGCACTTATTGAAAACCATAAAGAGAAGAAGAAATGTGACACAGTCACAGGCACAAGGTATGATGCAAGGAAGTGATGCTTGTGTTGAATTGGGGGAATATGGACTAGAAGGTGAACTTAACAGATTGAAGAGGGACAGAACAGTTTTGATGACTGAAATCGTGAAGCTGAGGCAGCAACAACAGAATTCAAGGGAGCAATTGATTGCAATGGAGGCCAGATTGCAAAGCACTGAGAAGAAACAGAAACAGATGATGACTTTCCTTGCCAAAGCAATGAGTAACCAATCTTTTATACAACAACTCGCACGAAGGAATGCTCAGAACAAATTGCAAGGTGGTGAGTTCAGTAGAAAGAGGAGACTTACTGCAAGCCCAAGTATGGAGAATATGCAACAACAACAACAACAACAACGTTCAGTGCCTTTTGAGACAGTGGAGTATGCAACCCAACAAGAAGACGATTTAGCAACTATTGAGTCTGAGATGGAGTCATTTTTCTCAACTGGTTATGATAATGAATCAAGCACTGAAATCAAAGAGCCAATAATGACTCAAGCAGCTATTGGTGGGAGTGACTTGGGTTCTGTGACTGATGCTATATGGGAAGAGTTGCTGAATGAAGACTTGATTGGTGGGAATCAAGGGGATGAAGTTGTGATTGGTGACTTTTCACAGATTGATGTGCCAGTGGAGGATTTGGTAGCAAAGCCGGGTGATTGGACTGAAGACTTGCAGAGCCTTGTGGACCATATAGGTTCTCTTGGCTCCAAACCCTAGTGTATTTGAAGTGATTGTACATTGTACAATTATTATCCTCAGTTTGGTCTCTCTGTAACTAAACTCCCTTTGCACCTTGGTGGTATGGCTTTATTGTATTAGTTAATATTTCTATGGTTTTGATAATTTGTGTGATGTTGATTGATGTAGAATATGAATGGTTTTATATGCAGCAGGGAGGGTGGTAGTTGCAGAAGAGGCCTACAGATACTGTTCTTTATGAGTATCCTTTGTTAAACAACCTGAGTTTTCTGAATAATTGAATATACCTTGTTTGGTACTTTCTTTAGTATCTGTTGCACTCTTTCTTTGTAACTAGTTGAATTGTACCTTTTGCAGGCCATGCTAAAGTAGATATATTAAGAGATGAACCAAATGATTGACCTGGAAAGGAAGCAGATGAGGCTGCTGCATATGCTATTGTGCTGGATTGTCAATATTTCAATGTTCTCTGGGAAGGTTGAATAGATACTGTATACGTTTTGATTTCTGTTAAAGGGCCTTTCCATAAAACATATATACAGAAGTTCCCATTCTTCTGCTTGTTACCTGCTTTATTTCAAATTGAATTAATTTACTCATGTACACCCATGTTTGCTGCACATTAAATGTACTGTGTCAATAACTATGAATTGTTTTGAGGTTCATCTTATTTTTAGATTGAACAACTATTTTATAACATTTAAGAGATGGTTTAAGTAAGTAAATAAAAATTAATTCAGTAAGTATGATTGAAAAGTGATTATTTGACAGTATTGTTGTATGATTTCTGATAATTGAAAATTGTTCTCTGAGAATAACAAAATTAATTGTTCTTTAATCAATTAATGTATGTTTTTATATGAAAATTGATGAGAAATAATATATGAAAGACCATTAAAATGTGACATTCACGTCTATTTAATCAATTCATCAAATAAGCTGTTTGTGAATGGTGTTGTCAAAATAGTATTTTAAAACCAAGTATTGACACTTTCCATTTGTGAAAAGGGGATTAGTTTTCATACCCCAAGAAGGAGGCAAAAATGTACATTATCTGATGGTAACAACTTAAGATGGACGTAGCAGGTTCCTTCTCCATAATATTAGGCCTTCCTTCTAGTCCCAATACTACAGGGCAGATTTTAAAGAGAATACCAGCCACCATAGACTGGGAAATAAAGCGTGCAAATCAGAGAATAACTGGTAGTCTTGGTGATTTTGTAGAAAAGAGATGGAAAGACAGGACCTGAGGTTCAAAGGATTTTGTTGTTGCTCATACTAAATGCCACTGAATCTAAAACGGTACCAGAAAAGGTTTTTACCCTTTTTTATAACTCTTTTTAGCTTAATTTTTCAAGAAGCTTAAACTTCTTTAACTAGTTACAAAAAACCTCTTTAAATAAGCGATTAATTACGTCATTTAGTCAAACATATTTCATGTGTATTTGGAAGATATTGAAGTGAGGCTTAGTGCTTTGGACTCTACCCTTTAGCTTAGCTTAGGTGCTTCTAACCAAATAATCCATCACATGTTCAGTAATTTAATTTGAAACAGTCTTGTTTGATTAAGAAAGAAGTGAAATTAAATGAGATGGTTGAAGTTGAAATGAAAGAAAGGAAGATACCAAGAAGGAGCGGAAAGCAGTTGGATTCGGATAGAAGAGAATCCCCAGAATGAGAAGAACAAGTAGTATAACTTCTCCATGACCTAAATTTCTCTACTCTCCTTCACCTACACATACATAATATACACTTGACTATTATGGATATACATATGATTGTGCATGGTAGTGGTATAGTATATAAGTAAAAAACATGTTTTAGATTGGTTTTCAAATAAATCTTTATGGAAAATGCTATATCCTCTACTAAATCTTCTTACCCACAAAAAAAGTGATATTTATCACTTGTAATCCAATCACTAATAAATAAAGTATTACTCTTTGTGACATATGTCACTTTTTGTGGATAGGAGGATATAACATTACTCTATCTTTATTATTCATTCTTTTTTTAAAGATAACAAACATGTTTAAAATTTAGAACGGAATTTAAACTCTTCATCTACCTAATGTCATACACATTCACTAAACAAATTATCGCCCCTTTCTTTCATCCATTTGGTCCGTTGTGAGGTTCAAATCCACCAATGGCAAATTACATTTATTTTTTTACATGAATGAGAAATGGATTGGCCTTCCTTGTGTCGAGCTAACTACATTTTCCGCTAAATTTATGTAGATAATATAATTATTCAAAGTTTTTATTGAAGTTGTTTTAAAACTACCAATCAATTCAAGAGAGTCAACTAAATTGATTGCACCTAACTAATTACTAACAAAAAAATTAAAGTCTAATATATGCTACTACAACCGGTATAAAGCTCATACACTCGGTAAATACATTTTTTTCTACAAAAAATATATATTTACTAATATGGTGTAGCAGATATTAACTGAATTTGCAAAAGTTATTTTTTTAAAACTGGTTGCCCAACTATTTGTAATAGCTTTTACTTGGGTGTTTTATTTGGTGATAAGTAGCATCTCCATTGATACAGAGCG